CAAAGGTCACTAAGCGACTATTTATATTTGAAATTCTTCCTTCTCCAACTTTCACTCTCCTGGATGGGAGGAGTTTTTGAAATACTTTCAGATACTCCCTTCTCTCCCCGCCCCCACAAACACACCACAAAGGTAATAGCAACAAGTGGGGAATTCGAAGCAAGACACGGAATTTCAGATCAAGCCCCCTGGATCTCCTCCAAAATTGTCATCCGATGATCTTTGCTGGGCTCCCCTACTTCCGTTCAACGGAAACCACCAACTGAAGAAGTGAGTCAGTCTCAGAACCGGTTATTTCCAAGATTGTGAGAAGTGAGCAGAGAAGCTGTGGTGGTGAACAGATCAACAGAGTTGGAAGGGACCTTGTAGGTCATCTAGTCCAACCCCCCCCACCCAAGCAGAACCTACCCCATTTCTGACAGATGGCAGTCCAGTCTCTTCTTGAAAGCCTCCAGTGATGAAGCTCCCACAACTTCTGAAGGCAACTTCTGTTCCATGGGTGGATTGTTCTCACTGTCAGAAAATTTCTCTTTATTTCCAGGTTGAATCTCTCCTTGATCAATTTCCATCCATTATTCCTTGTCTGGCCTTCAGGTGCTTTGGAGAATAGCTTCACCCCCTTCCTCCTCTCTGTGGCAGCCCCTCAAATATTGGAAGATGCTATCCTGTCTCTCCTGGTCCTTCTCTTCACTAGACCAGCCAGGCCCAGTTCCTGCATCTGTTCCTCGTATGTTTTAGCCTCCAAGCCTTTGATAAACTTATTTAGATTCAGATTAACAGAGTTGGAAGGGACCTTGTAGGTCATCTAGTCCAACCCCCCACCCAAGCAGGAGAACCTACACCATGTCTGAAAGATGGCAGTCCAGTCTCTTCTTGAAAGCCTCCAGTGATGAAGCTCCCACAACTTTCGAAGGCAACTTCTATTCCATCGATTGACTGTTCTGTCAGAAAATTCCTCCTTATTTCCAGGTTGAATCTCTCCTTGTTCAGTTTCCATCCATTATTCCTTTTCTGGCCTTTAGAGAATAGCTTGACCCCCTTCCTCCTCTCTGTGGCAGCCCCTCAAATATTGGAAGACTGCTATCCTGTCTCCCCTGGTCCTTCTCTTCACTAGACTAGCCATTCTTTAGACCTGGCCTCATCTGCCAAACTTAATTGACACTACCCAAACCTCCAAAGAGAAGCTAATAACAGTGGCCTCTTTGCTATGTTTCTGTTGAGCCATTCAGTTAATTCTTTCAATATTCGGACACCTTCTAAAACAACCTTAAACACTCTGTTGCCAAGACAGGTAGGCACCTGAAGACAGAGACTGGGACACCCAACCCAGGAAGAAATTGAAAGATGGAACAACAAGGGTTCCATCTCCAAGGTTTGGTATGTCCCCACCATCCAGTCAGAGCTGAAGAAGCTTCTTGGATGAGAAGCGAAACGTCTTCAGAGAAAAACAAAGAAGTCCAGTTGCCTCCTGAAAAAAAAAGGACCTTTGGCTAGGTCCAGTTGTTTGTTCCAAGTTGGAAAGAATTCCTAGTGGGCACTTTGCCCGGTGTCCCAGATGGTAAGGCCATGCTGAGATACATGGCATAGTCCCCAAAATGATTTCCCGAAAGAAGAACATAAGGTGGGCTAGGATGAGATATCTCATCAACAGAATGTAGGTTGGGTGGACTTGACCTCCCAGAATTCCCCAGTCAGCCATGCCATGTGGACTTCACCTCCCAGAATTCCCCAGTCAGCCATGCCATGTGGACTTCACCTCCCAGAATTCCCGTCAGCGATTGAGGAATTCTGGGAGTTGAAGTCCGTGTGTCTGAAAATTGGCAAGTTGAGAAACACCATCCCAGAGGCAGAAGTTTCTACAAGGCCTAATGATCCATGATAGAAGATCCTGGAAATACGTGTGAGCCAATGGACCAGGAGACAATTACTCCACTCACTCCCACCCTTACAAACACTGACTACTACCATGTGCTCTGTGTGGGGCTGCCCTTGAAGACTACTCAAAAGGTATCAGAAGATAGAAGGGATCTATCTTGCTGGAATGAACCCAATAGAGATGCTGAGTGTTTCCCGTCACATAAGATCCAGAAAGGGCAAAAGCCCATTGATTTTTCACCGATGGGTTCACCTCTTCCCCTTAAGAACAGCCACATCCTGCCTTCAATGCCTAACATTTAGGAAAACAGCTTAAAACCAAACCCTTTTTTAAAAAACATTTTTGATCTTGAATGCAGTCCCTGGAGAAAGGATGCCAAAGAGCATTTATGCATCTGATGTTCGGATTTGATGAGATTTGCCCTAGGAATTGATTTGATTATCGCAAACCGCTCTTATTCCAAGTTGCATAAATACAAGTCCAAAGTCGTCCTGCAGTGTAAGGAGTCTCCCAAATGGGGCGTTAGGAAGGGCGTGGCCGGACACAAAATATGGTTTCACCGCAGAAAGCAAGTTGGATATTCAATCCCGAATACGTTTTCCATCACCTGAGTTTTTTTTTTTCCCTTTGTCTTTTACCTTCTGAGCGACGAACAAAGCACAGGGCTACAGTCACCCTCAATTTTTTTTATTTTCTAAGAAGATTTAGGAAGGAATAAGGCTCCAGCCAGCATCTTCCTTTCCCCACTTCCATGCTTGCTAATTATAAGAACTGCAACATTTGCAAAGCAAAGCTGCCTGCAGGACGGGAGTCCCTCTTTTCCCATCGCCGATTCGAAGCACACGCCATCCCTTCCTTTCCTCCTTGAAAAACTTTTACATATTTTAACGGACAGCTTGTTCCCAGGCCGAGCACAGCCCTGGAAATTTTTGGCACCATTCCCCCGGTTAGAAATACTTCCCTGAGAAATAAGCAAAACTAGCAAAAACACGGGCCCTTCTTCATTTCCATACGTTGTTTGTTTGATGAAAACCTCTTCCCCATCACAAATCTTTTCAGACTACATAACTGGGATAGGAAAAGAAAAAAGAAGAAGAAAAATCCACATGTTCCCTGACTAGGGAATGATCCAGCAGCTGGAAAGATAAAGGAGATGCCAGCAAATCTTGCAAAGGCTTGTGCCAGGGGAAGAGGCTGGGCTGAGTTGCAAAGGGCTCAATGAGGTCTCCTTCTCGTTTTAAAATCTTACCGCCCTACGGATCTCGTGTTTTGAGCCCCGGGCACCACGCCCTTGGATATTTGAGATTTCTGCCATCTTGAATTAAGGATGGACAGGCAGACGGAGGAAGGAGGGAGGGAGGGAGGGAAATAGATAGCTGGCACTTCTCTGGGTTTGGAAAAGAAGGAACCTCAGCCTTGGAGAAACACCAGCCACCCAAGACGCGGGCATCGAATGTCAAAAAAATGTGCCACCAGCCTAGCGAGGCAGCTCAGGCATGCAAAGTGGGCGGGTGGGTGGCATGTGCCCGGAATCCCCTCCCTCAGTGCCCTGCTCTCTGTGGGCAGGGAGGGGTCAGGGGAAGATAGGAAGCCGAAGAGCCACCTGTCCCGGGGTGGGGGGGACGATCGCTTGGCACCAGCCACAATGCCAAGCCAGCTCTGGACTTGTCCCGCTGGGGGAGGAACCCCCCCCCACTCTCTTCCCCATTCTGCCTCTCGGGGACAATAAAGGGGGTTTAGCTCGGCTTCTTTGCGGGCAAGGTGGAACAAAGGTTGCAGAGCCGATGAAGCTGGGGAGGGGGCTTCCACACCCTCCAGATTTTTTCCTGCGGAGCAGCTGGTGCCTAGCTGGGCTCCACCCTTTCCGAGGCAAACCGCATTTGCAACGAGCAAAGGGGGCGTGGGGAGGGGGGGGGTTGAGCCCCATGAAGCCCTGGAGAAGACTCTGCATCCCCCCCACTCAAAAAAAGGAATAAGGGCTGGGTCGGTCGCCGCCGCCGCCGCCGCCTTGGGCTCAACGCGGTTGGAAGCGAATGCCGGGCAATGCCCGGGCAGCTTGGTTCCTTGCTCAATGGGCAGGACTCATGCGAGACGGCCGTGGCAACAGCAAACCTATTTTGTGGGAGGGGTCCCGAAGGGCTTGCCCTGAGCAGGCTTTGCAAAAATCCCACCCCCCTCCCCACAAACGAGACTGCAGCAAAGACGGACCCGCCTCCTGCCGCCGCCGCCCCCTCCCCTTCGGTCTCCGCGCCTGGGAAACGTGGGGTGGGGGCGAGCCCAGGGGGTCGTCCTAGGGAATCCCCTTCCTAATACCCGGGGAGGGTGGGTGGGTGGGCGAGGAACCCGATCCCTTTCTCCCTCGCCCGCCCACCGCATTCCCCCCACCAGAACAGGCGGTGCCCCTATGAATGCATGGCCAACTCGGGGTCGTAAATCAAAGGGGGGGGGGGCAGAGGGGGGGGGGCGGGCGGGGGGGGGGGGGCCTTGCGGGGGCTCCCTTTTGAAGGACCCCCCCCTTCACCACCTCGTTTCCCAACGCCCTGGGCTCCCCAACTCCGGTGCTTTTGTGCCTTCCCTTTTTTTTTCCTCCCCACCTCCGCGCACCCCGCCCCCTTTCCCTTCACTAGTTGCAAAGCGCTTGTAGTAGCAGCTGCTGCACCCTGGAGTAGAGTAGAGTGGAGTGGAGTAGAGTAGAGGCGGAGGGAAGGAGAAAGGTGGGTGTGTACTCCAACGGTGCTAGCCCGGGAGCGCGAAAGGCGCCCTCGCTTCTCCGGCACCGGGTGGTACTCGCGCGCCCTTGCCTAGCCAAAAACGATCCCCGGGCTGGCACAAGCGGGCAAGCCGGGCACCCCCTTCCCGTGCAGGTACCTCCAGGGTTGGGCACCTCCTGACCATGCAGGCACCTTCCCGGGCTCGCTTGGAACTGGAGGGGCTCCGGGAGCCGCCCCCCACTCAAAACCGGGGGAAAGAAGCCGCGCCGGGGTTTGGAGAGCTCCAGACGCGCGCTGCGCCGGGCAACCCAAGCTGGTTGCAACCCCGGAGTAGCTGCAAGAGGTTTTCGACCGTGCTTTGGGTCTGGGGGCGAGAGCCTCCCGTCCAGCCCGGGGCTCCCCCCACTACTCACCTCTGCCGCAGGAGCTGGCGAGCAGGAGGCAGCCCAGCAGCGCCAGGGATCTCAGCCGTCCGCAGCCCATGGTCGCCCGCACCGTGCCCGGACTCCGACTGCGGCCAAGGAGCCGGGGAGCTGGAGCCCGGCGGCTGACGTCACGGCCGAGGGGAGGGGCCGCTCCGAGGGGGGCACCCCGGACTGCCCCCATCCCCCCCCCACGAGGGTGGGCTGCACCAGCGCGGAAAAGCAGGCGGATCCCAGGAGGCGAGCCGGAGGGTTTCCCAGGTGCCGGCTTGCAGATGCGGACACATCTGGCCAGTTTCCTTGGCAGATGCGTGCAGCGGAGCCGGCAAGTGCCACTCGGGGAGCTCGGTTCGCTTTTTTCCCAGACAAAGAGAAAAGCCGCGATTCCACATCTGGGACAGGAAAGGCGAGGGGGGTCTCAACGGAGCGAGTCCAGGCTCTGGGTCTGAGTGGGGTGAAAGCAGGGGACCCCCCCCCCCCCAAAAAACTCTGCTTGTGGGGAACCAGCAGTCCCAGAGCCACGTGTGACCTCACATCCCCGGGGGACCCCCCTTTGCTACATCCTGCCCCACTGAGTGGACCTCCCCTCAAAACTGAAAATCCAAAATAGGCTGTATCAAAGGGGCATGGTTCTGCCCTTCCTCCCACCTCTTAGATTTTGGCATGTGCCACCAAAAACGTGCCCCTTTCACCTGGCACTCTAAGGGCTCTGCATCATTCTTTTAATCTCCTTTGTTGGGGGGGGGGGCGGAGTGCGGGGAGTTTCTCAGCTGCCCGCAAGGCAAGCAAGATGCCCAATTTTTGCCAAGGGTCCAAATTTTGGTCGTGTGACTGTGGGGAATGCTGCAGTGGTCATAGGTGCGAGGACTGGTTGTAAGTCACACATTTCAATCCCGTCACTAAGCAAATGGCCGTAAGTCACGGACTTGTACAATCCCTCCGAGAGTGAGATCGGTGATACTTAAATGTGATGAGAGATTATGTAGTGATAGATGATAGATAGATAGATGATAGATAGAGAGATGAGAGAGAGAGAGATGAGAGAGAAATTATGTAGTGATAGATGATAGATAGATAGATGATAGATATAGATGATAGATAGATAGATGAGAAAGAGAGATGAGAGAGATTATGTAGTGATAGATAGATAGATATAGATAAATGAGAGAGATATTATGTAGAGATGATAGATAGATAGATAGATAGATAGATAGATAGATAGATAGATAGATGAGAGGACAGAGAGAGAGAAATTATGTATGATAGATGATAGATAGATAGATGATAGATATAGATATAGATAGATAGATGAGAAAGAGAGATGAGAGAGATTATGTAGTGATAGATATAGATAGATAGATAAATGAGAGAGTATTATGTAGAGATGATAGATAGATAGATAGATAGATAGATAGATAGAGATAATAGATGAGAGAGAGGATAGATATGTATGATAGATGATAGATAGATAGATATAGATATAGATGATAGATAGATAGATGAGAAAGAGAGATAGATATATGAGAGATATGATAGATATAGAGATAGAGATATGAGATATAAGATATGAGAGATATAGATAGAGATAGATAGATGATAGATAGATAGAGATAGATAGATAGATAGAGATTAGATAGTATAGATATAGAGAGATAGATATAGATAGAGATATGAGTATAGAGAGATAGATAGTATGATAGAGAGAGAGAGATGATGAGAGATGATAGATGATAGATAGATAGATGATAGAGATGAGAGATGAGAGATATGATAGATGAGATATAGATAGATATAGAGAGTAAATGAGAGAGAGATATGTAGAGATGATATATGTATAGAGATAGATAGAGAGATAGATAGTAGATAGATAGATATAGATAGATAGATAGATAGATAGATAGATAGAGATGATAAGAGATATGATGAGATGAGATAGATGATAGATAGATAGATAGATAGATAGATAGATAGATAGATAGATGAGAGAGAGAGAGATGAGAGAGTAGATATGATAGATGATAGATAGATATAGATGATAGATATAGATGAGAGATAGATGAGAGAGAGAGATGATAGATATGTAGTAGATAGATAGATATAGATAAGAGATGAGAGAGAGATTATGTATAGATGATAGATAGATAGATAGAGATGATAGAGAGTAGAGAGAGTGAGAGAAGATTAATAGTGTTATGAGATATAGATAGATAGATATAGATATAGAGAGAGATGAGAGAGATAGAAGATGAGAGAGATATGTAGATGAAGTGAGAGAGAGGACAGAGAGAGAGAGAGAGATGTAGTGATTAGATGATAGATGAGATGAGAGAGAGAGAGATGAGAGAGTATGTAGTGATAGATAGATACAGATAAATGAGAGAGAGATTATGTATAGATGAGAGATAGGTATATAGATGAGAGATGAGAGAGAGTGAGAGAGAAAGATTATGTAGTGATGGATGTTAGAGAGAGACAGACAGACAGACAGACAGAGGTGAATCAGGAGCACAGTTACGGTTTCACTTAGCAGCTGCTTCACTTCACGACCGTCCTGACGGTGGCTGCTAAACGAGGACCGGGTCCCTTGTAACCTGATTCCACCCAATAGGTGATTAAGCAGATGGCAGCCAGTGCAGTTGGTGGGCCTTGTTGACAAGGGAAGAGCGGAAGGGATTTTGCGTGGCAGATCCTCGCGTTTTCCAAAGAAAATTGGAAAAAAACTATGCCCGGGAGCAGAGTTTTATGCAACTGTTGCGGCCTCTCCTTGCACTGTCTGGACTTGTGTTTTTCTCCAGTTCAGTGGAGGGTTTTTTTTCCAGCGCTTCCAGGATTAGTACAAACACATGGCATTCAGGTATGCACTGCTCCACTCCCCAAACAGATTCTCAAAAAAAAAAAAAAAAAAAAAAACAGAAAAGAAATGGAAGAGTTCACGGCAGAGGGAAAGATTCAGAGGGAAGGCTGCTCGGCGCATTCGTGCTTCAGCCCCCGTGCAACCCTGCAGCACCGAAGGGCTTGCTAGCACATGCACGTTAAGCCAGACGCCGTCCTGTTCCTTCTCCAGCAGCAGCAGCAGAGAGAGGGACCTCGCTCTACCTTGCAAGGAAATGGGTCTTTGCAACATTCACTCTAGGGCAGGGGTCAGCAACCTGCGGCTCCGGAGCCGCATGTGGCTCTTTGGGCCCTCTGCTGTGGGTCCCTGTCAGGTGATCCCACCACTGGCTGGCCCCGCCCCTCGCCCTCCCTTCCCAGTCACTCCTCACCTGGCCTGAGAAGGTAGGAGCGATAGTGGGGGATGGAGAAGCAGCCAGGGCAGAGACAGAGAGATACAGAGAGAGGGAAGGAAGGAGGGAGGGAGGGGAAAGAGAGAGATGTCAAAAGGATTTTGTGGTTCCCGGTGTTTTTTAACAACTGGTTCTCTGCCCAAATGACCAGCTAATGAGTAGGCGTGGCTAGGGGGTGTCATGTGACTGGTGGAAGTGAGTGACATCGAGTTGGCCACGCCCACTCAGGTTTTGTGGCTCCTGGTGTTTTCTTTTCTGTGGGAAACGGATCCAAATGGCTCTTTGAGTATTTAAGGTTGCAGACCCCTGCTCTCGGGAGAAGAGAGGAGAGGAGAGGGAGAGAGAGAGACAAGAAAGGGGAGAGGAAGAAAAGGGAGGGGGAAAGAGGAGTAGGAGAGAAGGTTAGAAGGGGGTGGGGAAGAAGAGAGGAGTGGGGGAAGGGAAGGGGAAGTAGGAAAGAGAAGGAGAGGATGAACGAAGAAAGTAGGAAGAGATAGAAGAAGGAAGGCTGTGGCAAAATAAAGAAGGGTAAATGGTAAAAGAGCAGCCCCGAAGAATTAAGAATAAAAGTTAAATGATAAGATGAATGAAAAATGGTGGATAAATGACCGTGCGTGTAAATATGTTTATGAGAAACAAAAATAAAAACTTTTTTGAAAGAAAGAAAGAAAAGAAAGAAAAAGAAAGAAAGAAAAAAAAGAAAGAAAAGAAAGAAAGAAAGAAAAAGAAAGAAAGAAAGAAAAAGATTCACTCTGTCTTACTGCAGACAATCTGCCGTGGATTTCTAATACACAAGACCCAACTTGGCGTTAATAAACAAGCATGGAATATTTCTCTGCGAACAGCAACCTGCTCTTTGCAAAATTAATCAATTTTGCCAGCACTTACCGTGTCCCCTGTTGCCTTCTTTCTCCCCTTCAGTTCCCACGAACAGGTTTGTTTGTGTTAAAACACACATTACTGCTGAGCACGAAAATACCAGGATCCATAAACATTGTTATCTACTCCGGGGCCTGTTTCCCCAGTTGGTTAACCTGAGACAAATAACCTTCTGACTGGCTTTAACCTCTCATTTATTTGCACCCATTCAAGCGGCTAAGCGACAGGTGGGAGGCGTGAAGCACCGTCAAAGGTTCCTAAGACGCTGAAAGCAGCACCTTTTGACCCAGTTGAGCATTTAAGGATTCGTTGGGAATGTCCTACTGGGTCAGATCCCAGAATCGCCTGCAAGATAAGAACCGGGATGATATCAGGGGTAAAATCCAGCAGGTTCTGGAGAACTGGTAGCGGAAATTTTGAATGGTTAGAGAACCGGCGAATACCACCTGTGGCTGGCTCCAGAGTGGGGTCGGAATGGAGATTTTGCATTATCCTTCCCACCGGAGTGGGGAGGGAATGGGGATTTTGCGGTATCCTTCCCCTGCCACGCCCACCAAGCCACACCACGCCCACCAAGCCACGCCCACAGAACCGGCAATAAAAAAAATTTGGATTTCACCATTGGACGATAACCCTGTTTCCCCAAAAATAAGACCTCCCCTGATAATAAGCCCAATCGGGCTTTTGAGCGCATGCGCTAAAATAAGCCTCCCCCTCTGAAAATAAGCCCTCCCCGAAAATATTTAAACGCAGAGCTGGAAATCAGGTAAAACGGCAAGAGGAGCCCCAAAATAATAAGACCTCCCTGAAAATAAGGCCAAGCGCTTATTTTGGGGTTCAAAAAAAAATATAAGGGTCTTATTTTCAGGAAAACACGATAACAATCAAAGCACCACCTGTTTTTAATAAGGTATCGCATCTCGAA